AAGTTGCGTGCTCGTGAGAACGAGGCTGCTCACTCGATCCAGGCTGCTTATCGTATACACGCCTCCCGAGGATTCATGAAGGCAATGAAGCTGGCTTTAGCGTCACAAGTGAAACGAGTGAAAGCTGCTACAGATATTCAACGCTTGATACGAGGCCATCGTGGACGAGGTGAGGCAGAGCTTCGGAGAGAGCTACAACGTTTCCGTCATCAAGCAAAACCATTATTCGCGAAAGAAACACGTTTCCAGTCGCTGGTGTCTGATTTGAATGATAAAGTTGAGCAGCTTCAACGCAAAATCACTGTCGATGGAGCTGAAGAGCGCTCGTTGACACTAGAACTCGAGAAAACGCTTCAGATCAAGACAAAATATCACGATTCGAGCCGTATCACCGGAACACCACAACGTTATCTAACGCAATACCTTCAAGTTCAGCTTGCGGATCAGCTTCGAGCAAAGCGAACCGAGATCGCACTTGATGATCGGGCGTACGAGACACTGACGACAAGTCTGAACGACGCTCAGAAACAGTTACGGGCTGTTAGGCGAGAGCTTGAACCTTTAACCGAGGGAGTCATCAAGAAAACTCGCGAAAATCGAGTGAAGAGACTGCAAGATAAAGTTCGACACGAACGCCGTGCGGCAATTACTATTCAGAAGATATTCCGCGGTTTTCGCGTAAGAGCAGCAGTTCGAGAGGGAGGAAATTGCTGGATTCCAATGGTGTCGCCCGATAATGGTCGACCCTATTACTACAACGCGCTGACAGGTGCTACACGATGGCATCGACCACTAGCAATGGACATTTTCGGAGATCAATTTGCAGTGCCCTTGACGGAATCTATTGAAGTACCTGCACCTGCAACCAATAATGTTGATCAACCTCCACATAGTCACCGCAGTTTTTCAGATCGACAAAGTACCAGTGGGGACAGACAGCACTCCTCGTCATGTAATTGGTACGAAGCTTTTGATGACATGATTCAAGCTCCGTACTACTTCAACAGCCAAACCGAGGAATACCAATGGGATAAACCCGATGCTATCGATAACGCGTACTTTACCGACAGTCAGACCTCTCGCAAGCGGAAGGAATGGCTCGAAGAGCAGCTTCAAGATCCCGAAGGTTTGATTGCAAGTACACAAATCCGTTTACCTGTGTTAGGACAGTGGGAAAGACGAGTCGATGCGCTGACCGAGTACATTATCTTTTATCATCCACCGACAGGGGTGATCAAAGCATCGCTGTCACCTCGAAGTGTCCATGCATCACTCGGCGACACTACAATGAACTCACGGCGCTCTGCTCGCAGTATCGGAACCTCTCGCTCGCTTCATTGGCAGTATCGATATGGGTACGAATATGACGCTAACGGAAAACTTGTCACGAGTTCGAGATCTGAGTCGCGACCCATTTGGACTGAGCACACCGATCCAGACAACGGCATGACCTACTATTACAACATACTTACTAACGAATACCGATGGGAAAAACCTGAAGACTTTGACGTCAGCTACGAAGCGTTCGCCAGCGGACGCAGTGCCAGTTCTTCGGCTCGTAAATGGTTCGAGATGGCTCATGAAAAGGTCAATGACGATGGCAGCAGCTCTCTCACAACTCGATCGTCAAAGTCACGCATTCTTGGCAAAAAATGGGTCGAACTTGTTGATCGAGAGACTCAAAACACCTACTACTACAACGAAGTAACAGGAGAATCGAGGTGGTCTCTTTCACCTCGCAGTGCTCGCGACACTTCCGACACGGAAGATCAAATATCCTTGGCTTTGTTCACGCAAGTGAAGCAACTTCGTGAGTCTCCAGTGCCATATTCATCACGAGACCAGCATATGAGCTGGCTGGAAGCAGCCATCACCGAGAAGGACTGGGTAAAAGCTGATGCGATCGTCCAGCAGATTTTTATCCGCGAACAGAGCCAAGTAGTGACTGAACGAAAGGCAAGAGAGGAAGAAGAGAGGTTATCTGCAAGCTCGAGCAATGGCATTATTCAGGCTACCTCTGATCTAACTCCAAGCACTTGGATTGAGTACCGAGACGAAAGCAGTGGCGCCATGTACTACTACAACCAGGAAACAGGAGAGACAAGCTGGAGCCAACCGTCAATAGCAGCAAGTCAATGGCAAGAGATGCAGGACAGCAACGGTACTACATACTACTACAACCCCGTGACTGGCGAGACTACATGGTCAAAGCCAGACAGCTAGAACCAAATACACTAAAACTGCTAACTTTATTCAGCAGTACAACTACTCACAAATCCTAGCAAGTATGACAATGGTAGCTTAGTCCAGTCCACCCACGCAGACCAT